TTGCCAGGCAAATCCAATAAAATTATTAATGACGACTAATAAAAAGAGTGAGTAAAGAAAATATTCGCCAGCCAGCAGGCAACAAAACGATTAACCCAGAAGGATCCTAACCACTTCTCCCGAAAAGGGCCTAAAGCCAAAGGAATATGCAACGAAAATAACAAGAAAATACTTGCTGTTAACGATAACAAATCGCCGACGGTTAACAGCGGCATTAATTCTCATTCGTGGCGGCATTTATTGGCCAATTAAAGTTGGTGGGAGGAAAATAGGAGGTCAGTCCTTACAAGGCCAGCCTTGGGCTATCAAGCCAGCAAATAACGAAGGCAATTAATAATTTTTGACAATTTACACAACATTGCGCATCAGTAGAGATAAGAAAATTTCCCTCAACCCGCTGGTGGAAAACACCCTTAAGTAATTTGTCCATTTCGCTAATAATTTCATCATCATCATCTGTACATTTTCCACTTTCTTTGTCCTTAAATTTATATTTGTTTTTAACTGCGCAAAAAAAAAAGGAGCACAGGTTTTTTGTTTTTCTTCTGCCACTGACAACTTCAAGTGCGGTTGCCCTTTTCATGGCTTTCCCTTTTATTTTCTTTTTTTAATGAAAAACAAACCATTCTCCTGCCACTCTCTCGGTTTGTTTATTCGCTTAACTTGCGTTAAAATAAATCAATTATTTTAATTCACGTTGACAACTCGCGTCATTTTCAGGCAAACTTTTTGCCCGCTGCTCTCTTGACATGGGATAAGGATGCTGAAACGTTGAAAAGCCAAAAGGGATGGAAAATGGGAACAGGAGCAGGGATACGGGCCGCAAGTAAAAGAATGTCATGCATAAAATGTCAATAACAGATATGAATACGAATGATGGAAGGCGAGCGAAAGGCATTAACAATCCCCCGAATTTGGAGCAGGCATAATTTAAAATTGATTTTTATTTTTTATAATGAAATCGGAAAGATGCTCTCATTAATATATTAAAAAGAACAATTTCATTATAATTTGTATATGACTTAAGCTATATTTATAGGTCCAAAAGGTAGAAGGTACATTACGATTATGAAGTGAGTTCATTAAAGCTTAAACTTGCAATAGTTTTCTTTGCAGTTTACTGTTAATAATACTAAATAAATCTTCGATAACAGATTTCCAGCAATATTAAGTTCATTCTTGCATAAATTAAATCAAAAATTTGTTTTGTGTTAAAACGAGTAAGCAAAAAGTTTTTATGGCACTCGAAAATTTCCCGGGGCCACGCCTCTTGAACAAGGCACACTCAAATGTATGGATATAGATGTATGAAATGCCATTTGGCAATTTCAATGTTGTATCCTTTGGCAAACACACAGGGAGCGCGGGGGCGGTGGGGCAGGAAGGAGCGCTAAAAGCGCCTGGATATATATCCATTTCGTTTTTGGAGGATTCTTCGCGTGCCATGTTAAGAGCTGCAACAACAATGAAAACTACAGTAACAACAATTGTGTATTACATGCGTGTGAACCAAAACTCAGACAAGGGGATTCCCCTAGCTCTCTCTCTCTCTCTCAACATTTTCCATTCACAATCAAACAAACACATTCACAATCGCAAAATGGAATTGTTCATTTTCCAACTTTGGCATTGGGTAAGCACTTTTTGTGTTTATTTATTTAAGTGTTATTTCGCATGTGCGTGTGTGTGTGTGTGTGGGTTTGGCAAAAATTGAGTTATAAACAAGTTTTTTGAAAATTGTTTAAATGGAAAGAACAGATTGAATTTCCTCCTGTCGACGGGGCGTGGGCCACTTGAGCTTTTGTCAAGTGGAAAATCGTTTTGTTGTATGCATGTGAGAGATGGTTTCCACTATGAATATGTTTTCGATCAGCTTGATTTATTTATGTATGCAAATAGCCTAATGTGGTACCAAAAGGGTTAGCTCCCCAATGGGATAGCTCCTCGCTTTAAAGTTACCTAATTTTGTTATAAAAAGTGTGTGTGAATTTGTTTTTTGTTGACTTGACTTATCCCAGTTTCCACTTGACTTGCACTCGATTTGATTTCTTTTATTGGCTTCTTCATTTCGATATAAGGATAGCTTAGATACAAAGCCGAGTTCAGTGAATAAAATGGAGCAGATATTATTATTGTAAAATATAATATTTGTGCTCTGTGAATGGAAAAAAAGAAACATTTTGAATGAAAACTATTTTCTAGTTTGTAAATATTTCCTCCATTTATAATACTAAAATTATTTCGGATATATTATTAAGTGTCACATATTTGTATCTCTGAGTTTCCATCTCATTATCATATATACTTCTTCATTGCTGTAATAGAAACAGAGATTTCCCTGTGAAAGAAGCCCTGCAGCAAAATCCTGTATTCAAAATGTTTATACTCTCCCTTTTCGAACGAAGCTCTTTGAAAGCATTTTGCAGTCTGCATTCAAGTGAAGTCCTTGCACTGATAAGCTGGAAAATTAAACGAGCTGATATCTCGGCTGAAGCGTTGTTCTGGCCGCAAGTTCAGCACTTGGATGCCACAATTTATGCATTTTCCATGGCATTAGCGTTGAAAGGCGTCGCAAATGAAATGCCATTCAAAAGGCTTTGGCTGGGTGGATGCTCCGCCCGGTTTGGTCTCCTGTTCTTCGGTTAGTTGGTTACCTGGTTATCCAACTAACCACCCACCCAGCCTCCCGAAAGGTCACGCAAATTAGTGCGACAACAACGGCGCGCAGCTACGGAGAACCCCAACAACAACGGGAAAGTTTCCTGAATAGGATAACTGCCAACTCTGGACGCAGACTCTATCTCGATGCTGGTTGTAATCCTGGCTGGGGAAAACTTGCAAAAGTAACCAGATAACGCAGCTACCAACCAACTAAGTAGTTGTCAAAGGGGTATTGCAGAGGGGGACCACAGGACGAAGCTCCAAGGCCCCAATATTGAGCCAAGAAGGAGGTTACTGACCCCACGTGAGGTTCAATTCTGATACCTGGCTAACTCATTGAACTTGCTCGATTCGCAGGATTTTAATATCAACTAACAACTTGGAAACATTCCTTATATCAGAAATAACAGGAGCTTTTTTGAAGATTAATTGGGAAATTTTATTTTATTTATTTGCGAAACCTTTTCTTAATGAACTGAAACAAAAGTAATCCCAAAAATTAGCTTAAATCAGCTTAAATATGAGTACAATAAATTAAACTGACTTTCAACTAATTTCTGAAACATTAATAACTTTTTCCGAAGCTCGGCAACATGTCACAAACATAAGTGAAGGCCCCACTCCGTATGCTGAAATAATTAATAAGCTAATTAATCCATAATAATGTCAAATAATAAGCCAATATTTGAGCAAATATTGGGCCAGGAAAAGCTGGGACGATGGAAATTGCGATGTCGGTGACAGAAAAGCCAGACAGCCTGTGAGAGAGGCAGAGAGTGTGTGGGTCTTCATTGAAATGCCATCATTATCGTGCTCATCATCGTTTACATGGCAAGTGCCTCATGGTTGCATGCCGCAAACGTTGCCGCTTCATTATCCTTATTACTCCTTTCGCTACAGTTACCAATCTACCCATCTCGCTCCGCACATGTGGATACACAGGGAGAAAAAAGCATGACAAGACTGCGCTGACATCCCTATTATGAAGGGTAAACTGTATACATCTGATATTATAAACCTGATATGTTGTTAATAAAAAAAAACTACAAGAACTACTTTTTTTATGTGACAAAATAATTATTTTTTGTTGAGCGAACACTAAACGAACATAATTTAATGAAACACATAGCTTCATCCGTGTCGTTTTTCATTTCAACTTTATTTCATTTAAAACATTGATAGGTTCTAATTATCACTTTTCCATTTCGCAATGTCAGCGACAGTTTCAAATTTAAAGTATATATTTTTGTGATTTATAAGCCCATTAGTATTTCCTTAATGTGATTTTTTCTACGTGGAGCTATCTCGCTCATCCTGCGCTGGCGGGTTATTGTTTCCATTTTGATTTATGTCTGGCATCCTTGGGCTCCTCTCCTGGCCTCGTCTACTATTTTAACGTTGTTAACCAAATTGCATAAATTAAGTGCGTTCGTTTGCTTGAGTGGCTCCGGTCCTAGTCCTCCGCTCCGGTGGCTCCTCCATGTCCCGATCCATCTCCCGTTCCTGTTCCGGCTTGGAGCTCAGTTTTGGCTTCTCGTCTTATACGGTCTTCGTCCTGCATTTGTGTTGCTAATGTGCGCACATTAGACGCACATGCTGCCTGCTCTCCTGCCAGTCCTGTCCTGAATTGTGTTTGCTTTTTTCCCTCCAGTCGCACTTATTATTTCCACTCCTGGGGAGGGGAAATCGTGTAAAGCAGCTGGAATATTTTATAATTGGCATGCAAATGCATTTTATGGCTAGCTTAGCTTGTGTAATCCGTTACCAGTTATAATGAAATAATATATATACACATTTTTTGCCTTGGATTTAACCGAGAGAAGTCATGTGCGCAAGGCCAAGAGTCATTCTGATTAAGTTTAAATTAATTGTTTTAACTTGAATGAACTCGTTTAGCAACGGAATTTGCTTATCCTTAAGTGTTTTAATTGGAGGAAAAAAATGCAATTTAAACGAATGGAAAGCAATTATATTAAAGAATTTTAATGTTGTAAAAACAAAAAGAATACCAATATGTAGGTTACTGCAATAGATTTACCAAAATATGATATAATATGATATATTTCACTGTTCTCAATGCAAAAACTGCATGAAAATTACCAATTATCTGCAATTTTCCGCTAGTTGCCGGAATGAATGAATATCAATTGCACTGCTCCAATTGAAGTTAAGCCAATCAGCCAAAATATATTGTAAATATTTGCCTAGTCGTGCCGCAACCCTTTAGAGTATTGTGGAAAATTGCCACAATTTCTACTCAATTATCTTAATAGTATTTACTATTGACAAAGCGACTATATAAAGAGCCGATGAACTGGAGTTAATAGAAGTGCTTTGCTATGAAATCGCTGGGGTTGCTTTTGCTGCTCTTGGGCATTTTTTGCCTGAGTCGATGTCAAGAGGATAGCGAGAATGTTCGAAGGATAATGAAGGAAATGGATGTAGTGCCGGATATTTTAGAAGAGCCACCAAAGGAACTACTCAGGGTATATATATATATATATATATAACTATTGTTTAATCTAAAAAAATATATATAGGTTAGATATGACAACACTTTTGACATTGAAGAGGGCAAGTCATACACTCCAACAGAGCTGAAATTCCAACCCAGATTGGATTGGAATGCCGATCCTGAGTCCTTTTACACCGTGATTATGATCTGTCCCGATGCTCCGAACCGTGAAAATCCCATGTACCGTTCATGGCTCCATTGGTTGGTGGTTAATGTCCCCGGATTGGATATAATGAAGGGACAACCGATTTCGGATTATTTTGGACCTCTTCCGCCCAAGGATAGTGGCAATCAACGCTACCTTATCCTGGTATATCAGCAATCGGAAAAGTTGGCCTTTGACGAAGAGAAAATCGAGATGAGCAACGCCGATGGTCACAGCAATTTCGAGGTGAAGAAATTCGCTCAGAAATACGAAATGGGAAATCCTGTGGCAGGGAATATATTCCAATCCAGATGGGATGAGTATGTACCAGAGTTGATGAAGACCCTTTATGGAGTCAATGAGTAGAGATCGATAAAAGCAATCGGATGGTTAGCAGTTCCTTGGTTGAGTTGTGCACAAATCTGTTCTTTAATATTTCTTTAATGTATAATATTTGCTAAATAAATTAGTTAGATGAGCATTCCAAGAAGCATAGTATATTTATTACTCCTCTTTGCTATCCACTATTCCCAGTTTTGTGTCGATTGTCTGACAGATTGCAGAACTGCTCCACTACAAAGTGCAATAATACACCCTATTTCATCCTCCCACAAACTTTTTGATTGACTTGCTACACTTTCCAAATCCCCCACGCTCTGAAATGGCAGGAACCTCAAGCGGCTTTGCACTTGGCACAAAACTCACTTAAACTTTGCAATCGCGATAGGACGTAATGTTAGATTTCCATTTATATAAACTCGAACAAGTGTGAAAGGTGCACCTTCCCGGAGGGGTGGCGATGCCCTCCCTTTTTTCTTAACTTCCTGTGGCAGGAGAGTGGAGCCCTCCACTCAAATAGTAACTAAACGCAGTCGAGCACAAAGCGCTTTTTGTGGGCAATGGCAAATAACCTTAAGGTTAAGATTACAAGGTAATTTGATTCAATTCGAGTGATAGGCATGCCAAGGCAACAACAAACGGCAATGGCCCGAGATGGCAAACGGAGATGAAGATGGGATGCTGGATGCTGGGACCGAGGCGGAAAAGTTCCGGTGTCGGGCCAATTTCCCCAGTTTCAGCCGGATAGATGACAGTGTCAAGATACGAACTGTTGCAGCTTTGCTTTTGCACCCCTCAAGCCAAAAAAACGAGTCGTACCCTCTTTTATTTTTTTCCTTCACTTCTTTTCCGGGTCTCTTTGGCCCGGTATTTTTGTGTTTATCAGTTTGTGTATAAATTTGCCTTTATTTTGACATATTTAGTGGCGGTTCCAAGACAATTGTCTCGGTGATAAAAGGCTCAAAGATCTCGGTCCGATTTTCTTGTTACTCCATTAAAAAGCCATACAGTGGCCACGATTCGAGACGAAAATTGGATTTAGTAGGAAATTAAGACGATAAAGTAGTGAGGTATAAGAATTTAATATGCTTTGAATGAATCCAGTTATATTCTTAAATAGAAAATGAACAAAATGAATACAGAGATATATGTATATTAAAGTTTATATAGTAAGTATAAGTGTTTGAAAAAGGCAAGACATTTATAAATCATAAAAACTATCAAGAATTTATATTAACCTATATTAACAAATATAGGACAAAGGGAAAGTATAATATATTATGTAAAAAAGTTCGATATGTTAATTACTTAGTAACATTTCTAAAGATCGTATTAACTCAGAGATTACCCAGCACAACATTATGCAAAAAATAAAAGATCTTGGTGTAAGGAGTTTCTGTAATAATGTATTTTCCAAAATAATGTCAAATTTAAGAGGGACAACAGCAACTCCTGTAGGTTCCAGTTAAAAAAAACCTCCATCATAGCCGTTGATAAGGCCACGATAATTTGCTCATTTCCACGCATCATCTTCACGAGCTTTACTCTAATTTCACGCTCGCCTGATCTCACTATTATAAGAAACAGTTTTTTTCCAGCCGCTGCTCGTGGAAGTTGCCAAAGGGGCGTATGAGTAATCTGGCCCAAATCCCAGAGCTGCTTCTCTTCCTCTTCGTGCACAGCCTTTTTTGCGGATAAAGTTTTCTTCTTATTATTTATCCCATGTGACAAATTTGGTGCAGCAGATTTTTGCCTCGCATAATAAATTATGCGCTGCACTTGCGGCAAAAAGAAAACTAAAATTAAATTAAAGGAAAGGAAAAAATGAGAGACGAGGACGAACGAAGGAGTTGAAAGTTTCCCATCTTTTGGTGGGACATGAAAGTTTTCCGTACACGTTTTAATTTAATAATCACTGTCTGGAGTCATTAAGTTGCGGCAAAGTTTTCCCGGATAGTTTACGGGATTTGACATTACACTTAATCGCTCAAAAACGCTTTTAATTGGAGCGTTGTTTGCCTGAATAAATCATGTAATAAATAAACAAGCCGGCACACTTGTTGGCCATGCATTATTTATGCGTTGAATCAATAACTGTGACACTTTGGCTAGCATTTCCCATGCATGGCAATGACTGATGCAGATGAGCAGGAGCTGGACACCCGGAGCCAGCCAGGGAGCGGGTTTCAAGGGGATTCCTGGAGGAGCAGCAGGAGCCACTGTCAGTGTCTGAACAACCGGCAACCAGCAGCCTGGTTCCTGTCACACAGTTAAAATGTGATAAATTCCATTAAGTGACAGAGAAACGCACGCAAAATGCAAACGTAAACTGTATTTGAGATTAGAGATGAGTAAGTCTATCAAAACATCTAACTAAGAGTTTCATATATGGTTTATATAATATTAAATTGTATTTTATATGATGCAATATTATTAGTATTAAACAAATTATACAAAAAACACAAATTACTTGTATTATTTATTAATTGCAGTTTTCATAAAAGAATGTAAAGAAATAGTAAATAGTTAAGTTATAAAATTCATTATATATATCTTTAAATTATATTTTGATCCATAATCTATTTGCATCTAGCTACCATCTCTAGACTCCACATAGAAATGTTTTGAATGGACAGGCAAGAAATCCATTTTGTGTGCGCCAAATCAAAATGTACCAGCCAGAAACAGACACACACTCTTATACACTCACCCATACAGGAGTACAGAGGGACACATCTACCAACTGTAAACATCAAGCTGAATGTTGCATGTTGCACATTGAAAGCCAAAACTGACACCAGCAGACATTTAGTACGCATCGCATATTGAAATTGTAATTTGATTTCTGCCTTTTGCCACCAACTGTCCAGCTGTCTATCTCCATGTCTCCCTCGATGGCACACTCTCTCTCTGCATTCTATATATTCCCCCGATTTGGTAGTATTTCTATACTGGGTTGCATGCCAGGCGAGGTTCTTGCCCTGAGTACCGACAGGTGCGTATGTTGCAACTGAACAAACTCGTTTAGAGCTTAACAAATATAAACTGGGTCAAGCCAAAAAATAAAAGGGTGTTCGGAATTTTAAAAACCATTTAAAATTGTGGGAATATTTAGGAGAATAAAAATACCCTACAATCGTTGGTTGACATTTTAATTTGAATGCAAATAATTCATGGATCCGTCTTGTAACGAATAATCTTGGGGTAGGTCAGCGAGGTAATCCTTACATTAGATATGTTCATAAATACGATGTATATTTCACTTTGAGATACAATTGTCTGCAAAATATATTTTTAAGTTAGAGTTTTAGGTGTTGAAAAGCAATATACTGATTAAATACATTTCGAAATCATGAATATTTTATTATAGGTAGGACTTTGGTTAGAGTAAAGTCCTGCAAATCAAGAGTAATTTAAATTAATCGCACATGAATAAAGCAAAGTTGCCACTATCTGACGGTGACACACCTGAGGCACCTGACCACCGCCTCCCACCACAGGATTATTCACATCCAAAAGGTCCTGAACGCCTCCCCAACTGTCAACCGACTGAGTTTGTGTGCTGACAAAGCCTCTTGGGGCACTTAAATCATTATTTAATTTGAATTTAAAATGCAGCAAGGAATTTTCCACGGCTGTCGCTGTTTGTCGTCTGAAACAAAGCGCGGACAAATAAATAAAATAAAATGGCAAACTCATTACAGGCCAAGTGCTGGACTGCGATGACGACGATGGTAATGACGATGATGATGTGGCAACAAGTCGGAGTCGGGCCTCAGTTTTGCACAATGCCCCATGCAACACTGAGTCTCACATACAATAATACAGTCGTGTTAACAATAATAGTACTATAATAATAGAGATTAAAGTCGAATCTTTAAAACGATAGAAATATTTTTATAACTATGAAACTTTGCTGAAATGCTTAGTTAATTCTTTTTCTTATCTTTATATCATACAAACTTATACAAATATTTTTGTAATAGTCTTGAAAACATTTCTTTTAACGGTAGGCATATATTATACTAAAATTTCGGCCATAGCTGTTCCCCCCCCCACACACAGTGGAGGCGAAAAAAAGTGGCCAACAAAGGCACAATGACGCCACCTCACCTCTATTCCCCTCGTTGCCACTGTTGAGCTCTCCCACTTGGCTGCCTGCATTGCAATGCATTGTTTGGCTCGCTGTTTAAGGGGGAAGGGAAAGCGGAAAAGTGGGGCCAAGGAAAAGCGGGGGACGGAAACACCGCCAGCGGCATCTGGGGCATTGATGCCAGGTGACAGACGGCACTATGCAGGTGCGTATGCGGCCGTGTGTGTCCTTGTGTGCTCCAGTGCCACAGTGTGTGTGTGTACGATTTTCAGCCTGCATATGTCGCCGTTTTCCAGCTAATTGCCGGCTATTTACATTTTAAATCGAAAGAAACTTTAAAACAATTTCTTAGTAAATGCAACTAAGTTTTTATAAACCTTTACAAAAAATGTAGTATTTAAGTATAAAGTTGGGGATTAATAAAAAGGTTTAAAAATTAAACTGCTTGGATTCGATTGGGAAAGGCTAAAGTTAGTATTATAAGTGAGGGAATAAAAAGGACAACGCAATCGATTTGCACTTTTCCTAATTTAATAAAAGGAAAACACATTTTTAAAACTGATTAATATATATATTTTCTTATAATTATCCCACTATTCGTTATTATTCACTATCATATCAGATATATAAATTATCCACACATTCCAAAAGTTAAAATTTTTGTCATTGAAAACTGATTCATTCCTTCTCCCATATGAATACCTAGTGAATGTTTTGATTGATTGTAATAAAAGGAAAAGTATTTCTAGTCAGCGGGAAAAAGTAGTCCACAAACGTGTCTTGAAGCTGGCAAGCTCATAAATACGAAATGCGGTTTCATCGTATTTCAGTTTCTGAGTTTCTGGCACTTGAAGTATGTCAATCCTTTGTCGCTTCTGTGGCTCACCTCACTGCAGGTGACACGTTGGGTGGAGAGGACAACAAATAATTTCCACAAGGCCCTTTGGGAGTTTTGCCCCTAGTCAACCTGTTCAGATATTCAAGCAGTATGAAACCGCCTTCTTTTTTTTTGGGTTTTTATTGACAACTTTGGAAATTGTT